AGGCACAGGTGGTATTTTAAAAGCTATTAAAAAAAAAAAAAAAATCAAGTGAAGCACAGTTTCAACATCCCTTCACCTTATCTTACCACCTCCTCCTCCCTGCCCCTTTCCCCCTATGAAGAGACAAATCAGTCTTGCCATAACATTTATTGAGTATTTCCACTCTAGTGGATGAAACGTCTGTACAAAACCAAACATTTCCTTAACTTACTCAAACCAATCTAGAAACAGTCAACTCAATTAAAACCCACTACAAACACAATAGCTTCTTTGAAGCCATGGTAACACTTAAATACAGTTAAGACTTCAATGCAGAAATTTGGTTTGTTAGAAAGCTCAAGGGAGCTTTAGCTTCTCAAAGTTAAAAAAAGGCAAAATTGTGTTTCACAGATACAGTCCACTGGAATCACCAACACTGGACAAGTTAAGTACTTCGAGTCCTGAGATAACAAGGAATCCTGGTATCCTTTAGACAGTCTTCTGTTGTCCTTTCTTGCCAATGAGAGACTTGTGGATGTGCGGTATTACACCTAAGAAAGAGCAACAATTAAGACCACATGATTTCTCAACAGTTTTCCTAAACTTTGTACTTCAAATGAAAGTGACAGCACTAAGCAACCTGTAGTCTGAGACAGTTCCTCCACCCAACCAACCACAAACAGCAAACAACTGACATACCACCACCAGCAATTGTTGCCTTGATCAGAGAATCCAACTCTTCATCTCCTCTAATGGCAAGCTGCAAGTGACGGGGAGTGATACGTTTCACCTTCAAGTCTTTGGATGCATTTCCTGCCAGCTCAAGGACCTGGGACAAGACCATTTTTGAATAGTTACACAGTCAAGTGAGACCAACAGCACAGTCTCAGCTGTTTCAAATACTGTGTCACCGTTAGTGACACTGAGATAGCAAACAATGCCTCTTCCAAAAGGGTTCCTCCTTTGGAGCTCTACGTTTAGTTTTCCCAATAAGAAGAGTATTTACAGGAGATATGACATGCTGTAATGGCCCGTTTTATAAGTTACTTCACACTTGCATTTTTGCTGCAAGTCACAGCACCAAATTTGTGTGAAATGCAGAGCACGCGTATTTCACAGTCTTCTGATAATGTACGCACTTGAAAATGGCTCAAAGCAAGTGAAGAGCTCATAACCCAGTCCAAACTGGCAAAATACAGCAGGCTCTGGTCATTATGGCATTTGGGAGTTGACCACCCCCTGCAGGTTTTACCTCAGCTGTCAAGTACTCCAGGATTGCAGCACTATACACAGCAGCTGTGGCTCCCACACGTCCATGGCTGGTTGTCCTAGACTTCAGGTGCCTGTGGATGCGGCCAACAGGGAACTGGAAAAAAAACCAGAAGCATGAACAGGCTGTGACAGCAGAAAGCCACTGCACAAAACCACATCCTGGGCTGCGAAGTTCCAGTGGCAGACGCACAGGCTGTATTTCACTTCAGAAACCAGTTAAGGACACCACGTTTCACACTCACATCAGCAACTTCACAATTTGCAGCACAAGCAGCAGCAACAGCCACATGGTTATTATTTCGCCTCCTGCACGGATATGCAAAAAGGTCTAAAGCCATGTCTGGCTAAAGATCCTTACACCACTTGGGACAACTGGCAGACACAGAGTGCAAAGGTTCCACGAAGTGCAATCAATCAACAGATGGAAGACCTGCCTGACTTCACCCACGCCCCAGCCCCTGTTCACCTGCAATCCAGCCCGCTGGGAACGGGACACTGCTTTGGTCTTGGTCTTCCCGGAGTCCTTCCCAGCTTTCCCGCCAGCCTGGCAATGCCAAGAGAAGATCAGGAGTTGATGTCACCACCAAACCCCGCCCTCCGCGCATGCGCCCCGCTTCCCCCCCCTCACGCGCAGAGGGGCACCGCGCGCCGGGCGCGATGCGCTCGTCGTCCACTCACAGGGCCGCTCCCCCCGCGCGCGGACGGCGCTGCTCCCCTCCTGTCCCCTTCGGCGCCATGCGCGTGCGACACGCCCCCCCACCCCCTGCTCCGCCGCGCGCCGCCCCGCGCCCTCACCCGCCGCTCCGGCCGCCCCGCTCCCCCGCCACCCACAGGCGGCAGCGCCTCAGCCCCGGAAACCCCGCGGCCAGCGCCACCCCACCCCCGAGCGCCCCCGCGCTCCTTTCACCATGGCGAAATGGAGCGCAGCGCCTCGAAGGTTGGTGAGACTGAGGCAGAGGACGTCCCTTCACGCATGACCGGCGCAGCACCAACTACCCCACCGCCGCGATTCAAATGGCAGCCGTCCCGCCTTCCCCGGCCCTTATAACCGCCGAGCGCGCCCGAATCGGGAACCCGGCCCAGCCGCCAGCCAATGGCCGCCCCGGGACGGCCGCTCTCGCACCAGCGACAACATGCGGAGGCGGCCGGCCCGGCCGCGGGCAAGCGAGTCCCCGCCCCCCCTTTAAAGCGACAGGCGCGGTCGGCGAGGGTGGAGGGGGGTGTCTGATCCCGCCGGACCCCGTCTGTGCTGGGGATGGGGCCCGGGGAGATCCCCGGCAGGAGGGGCGCTGCCCAGACTCATCCCGCTCCGTTACCCGGGGTTCTTTATCATCAGGTCCCGTGCCTGCACCGAGTCGCGCTCCGGAGCCGCCGCAGTGCCGTCGAAGCCTCCCTCCCACAGGGGGAGTTAATTGGTTTAGTGTGCTAAGCGCCTCAGGAGCAACCTGAGGGAGATTAGGTCCCGGGTTTGGGATGAGGGGCTGTTAGCGGGGAACACGAGGCTGCCCAGTGGCGTCGAATACAGACGAAGTCACACCAGCTCCTCAGGATTCCAGGGGTGGGGGAATGCCGGCAAGGCTGACAGCTCTGCACACGTGCACTGGTTTTCATTTCTACCTCCATCACAAAGGACCATCCTGCCTCAGACCCATTTGTCTCACTGGGTGTTTCACAAACTATGGCTGAAATTCATCATGAGTTCTGTTCCAAGTCTAACGTTTAATTAATGCAGTGTTTCCTCAGCTTTGGCACTTCAAATCCCTGCCTGTATTTTCCTGAAATGAAGCTTTAACCCTTATTTTCTTTTTTTTTTTTGGTGCCATTTTCAGTAAATTATCAGTCAAACCTCGGAGCTCAGTGAGGGTATTCTCTGTTAATCCAATTCTTTCAGCTTCAAAAAAGTAACAATTCCTTGTGCTCTTCCAGAACACTGTAAGTCTCTGTTGAGAGAGATGCCACTCATCTGTGAGCATGCAGTGAGCTCAGGGGGAAACCCCGGCCTTTCCCCGGCCAATTAGCTCTTTAGGCGGAAGACTGGCAGGATCTGTCATACACTTTACCAATCTAATCACTAAACCACCACACATTAACACAAGTATTTCCTCTGCCTTGATATCAAAGGGTCCCAAGCATGATGAATACTCTTACAGACAGACCTGTAATGGGAGGTAGAGCTAAGGGCATAACGTTCTCATGAGGATACTCTGCTTGCCATAACTTTTCCACTTTCTTCAGGTCTTCAACAGTTGAAATACTCAGAACACTAAGACAGGAGGATATGTGCTGATCTGTAGAGCTTCACTTCAAGATCTTTCGAGCTGTTCACTGGAATAGTAAACATATAAAACTTTGTACCTCTCCTGCTCAAACGTCTGACCCCAAATACTTGGTCCCCTGGTTACAAAGGACCCTTTAGTTGGACCTCCAGACAGCCTGAGGCCACATCATCAGTGCCTTCAACACTTTCAGTTTGGGCATCTAGTTTCAGTTTGGGCATCTAGTCCTAGCTGCTACCACCTCAGGATGGGGAGACCTACTTCCAAGCACATGCACAGAGAGGCAGGACTGAATTGAGAGCAGATAACGCCTACATGCAGGGATCTGGCAGTTTGTTTTTATGTAACTGTCTGGTGCTTCTGTCTATTTGAAGCTTCATTTGTTTATATTCTCCTTCAGCAAGAAAGAAGATAAGAGGGTTTGAAGGGGGTTAGAATTTTTTTTTAAGTTTAAAAACAAGCCTCAAGGTTTTACAGAAGCCTGCAGAAGTTTTCACTCAACAAGCACAACCTGAACTCCCCCCTCTGCTATTTAAAGACATAAATGGAAACTAGTTTAGGTACACTAGGAACAATGGGAACAATTCCAAAGCAACTTCAGACCCAGTTGTGAGCACAAATAACCTCAATCCCACATGAACAAAGGGAGCACTTACCACCTGCGTCTTCCTGATGATATTTGTACCCCAAGCCTGGCCCCAGGTGTCTTATCCAGTGGGAAGAAGGAAGATATGCTTCAAGGGGGACAAAGCAGAATAATAGGCTTTTATTGGCCTAATTAACATTAAGAAAGTGGAAAATCTCTCTAAAAGGATATATTATGGGGAACCTGGTGAGAAAAGATGCAGTCCGCCTGGTGTGTACCTTGTGTAATGGTGTTCAATATGCCTTAGGAGAACTGGGATGTAGTGCTGCTTTCTTTTCTACTCTACTACTTAGTATGATTTCCTTGGAGAAAAACGATTATTTTTACTTGCCTCCAAAATATGAACACACTGTACAAAGCAGGTACCAATTCTCACCCTCACTAAGTACTGGACTATGATCATGGTATTATTTGGACTATCTTGAATTAATTTCTTTCAGGATTTTAGTTTCTGCAGAAGTGGTGGAGATCATCTTCATTAGCAGACTGATGAAGCATTCCCAGAAAGCTCTTTGTATCACATCCCTCAGAACTTTACAGTTTCTGAATCCTGAACAAGTTTAAGTAGGAGATACATACCTAGGTGCTCAGCTTTGCCATGGCATTGCTGGGATACAATATCTGTGGAACTTCAAAAGCCAGGTGTCAGAAAGCATTTGAGAAATTATTTTTTAGGTGACAGCTAAGCCGAGTCAGCTCATTTTTCAGTATACAGGTTTTAGTCAGAGGTTTTAGTATGCTGTACTTTGACCTAACTCCCCTTAAGTGAGTAATATAGTTTGTCAGGGTTTTTTTTAGCCTGTAGCCACTGCTTACTTTCATTTAGGCTGTAGTTTTTTGTGGTGAGATCAATTACAGTATGACTTGTATTTGCCCCTGGAGCCATTCCCCCTTGCAGAGGGCTTCCCTGCTGCCCTTTTGCAGGATCTCTAGCAAATGAAAGGGTTCTGCTGAGCTGGGTCTCTCTATTGGCTGCTGTATTTGGGTTCAGGAAATTCACATCCTCTCCTGTTGCACGGTTGTGTTGTGCATAGTGATGAATAGATTCAACTGTTCGGTTTAACAGATACATTTATTAATCTGGTATCTCTAAACAGCTCCACACATTGAAAGAATGAGATACGCTGTGAGATATGTGGTGAAGGGATTACTGTGGGTGTGGTGGCCTGCTGATGGGGTGATAAGCTATCTATCTAGGTTGTAGATGATCCTCATCACTGCAATTCATGTGGAAGAGGGAGTGATCTAGGGTGTCACAGTTCTATTCTGCCCTTGGCCATTACACACAGCCTTTATAATCACTGTATTTGTAACTTTTCATATTCTTCATTTACATATAAAATGTCTGCCCCCCCATCAATGACGGCAGCTAACAGAATATTTGACTACATTCTCACCTCCACTTCTCCAGAAGAGTATAATTTGGCATTTGAAATCCTCCATGGCAGAAGATGAGAATACAACCACCTTGCAGACAAGTGTTGCTCTCCTTCCCCAAAGTATGGATGCCTCTTTGGTAAGAACTGTGCCTCTGGAGCATACTTGGAAACACTTGTACATGGTGGTATACATTTATATTTTGCAGGTCTAGTGAATCACCACCAATCTAAAAGAATCTAAAATCTGTTGCTGCACTGCACTGTTTGTGAGTCTGTGTTCATGCGAGTTCTTTTAAACTTGACCAGACTGTTGCATTGATAAACTGCACTCTTTGTGAATATCTAATCATGAATGAGACCAGACTTACAGTGTAACCCGCTGTATTGGTGCATCTGGGATCTTACTGAATGCAACCAAACTTACAGTGCTGAATTGCTTATAATAAAAAATTAAGCCTAGTTGCACCCAGCCTCCCTGAGGGCTAGCTGGAAAGCAGGAGGGTTTATTTTCTGCCAAATTTCTATTCTCTTAACTCAATACAGGGCTCTGTAATAGCTCTGCAGATAACGCTTGCATACTGATTTCAGAGAGACTTGAACTACCCTTATATCTACACTGTTCATTATACTCCTTTGTATCAGCTATTAATAGTCATAATGACTAGCCTGAATAGATTTTTATCTCGTTCTTGTTTAGCCAGCTCTGAAAGGAAGCTACAGCTAGTTAGGCAAAGTGAAATGACAGTCTGTTAGAGACAGTGGCAGCCAGAACTCCTTACCCTCATCCTTCCATTGTCTTACACAGAAACTTGTCCCTCAAAATTCTCTTGTTGCTGCGTGCCTTGGTCCTCACCCTTACCCATATTTGAGCTCCATTCAAAATAATTATATTTACATGATCTTTTGTGCTGGCTACAAAGCCATATGCAAGGACCTACTCCAACTGTGTTCAAGTTAGGCAACTCTCAAGTGGCTCTAATTTGCCACGTGATACCTGTGCCCAGAGGACATTGCAATTAAATAGGCTTTTACCAGACATAACAATTTGGTTATACCAATTTCTTTTCCTAAGAAAGCAACCTGGAAAAATGTGAAAAAGAATGTGTTTTCCTGAAGGTGCCTTGTTCCAGAATTTCAATCAAAATGTTCCTTTGCAGGAGCTGGAAATGGTTCTTCAAAACTTGTTCTGTGAAAATGAAAGGGAAAAAGAAGAAATGCCACCTGCCCTTTGGAAGAGCAGAGAGAAAATTCATGGCAGACTTGCCCTTTCCTTGCCAAAGTCATTGCAAGTAGAGGGGATCCAATTCTTCTTTATTGGTAGGAGACAGCTAGTACAGCCATCTTTTGTTTCTAGTGTGACAACCTGGTTTATTTCTTCCTCATGGTGTAGATTGGATTTTGTAGAGAAGTAACTGAAGCTCACAACTGGAATGAGATCCTGTACTGCACCTGGCTTGTGACACAGACAGCATGGCTCTCACTGAACAATGCATAATTAATAATATGTTCTCATTTTTAGTCATCTGCAACAAAGAACTGCAAGCCCCAGGGTCTGTTTTATACCGAGAAAAGTACTGATTTCCCAGAGCTAGCTGAGGTGTCAGTACAAATATAACTGTTACCCATACACCTTTACAAATAGTAATAAGATTAACTCTGGAGTTCACTTCTGCCAAAGTTGGAAATTGTAGCTAAGGCTGTATCATTCCTAGGAAGGATAACTCCCAGAGGGGTGTTATGTTTTTGGTTTTGTTTTTTTTTCTTCATCTTTAAATTCTAGCAATTGGAGCTGAGAAAAGAAAAAAGGTTAAGTAGGTATTACCTTCTTTCGTCTCTTCTTTGCTGCAGTGAAGGGCCTTCTGCTCTGGGCTTGTTTTGGAAATTTCTGAGTTTCCTTAATGCAGAGGTTTGCACTTGGGAACAGTTGATCTTGCACTATGACTATTACTGTCCAGTTAAATTTGATATACTGTGAAACTGGTTCACACTTTGATCAGGAACATAAAGATGAATCTCTTCAACTGTAGTGGGGCTGTGACTGACCAAATGAAATTGTCCCAATGGTGGCAGCATAACACAAGAAATAAAATATGAAACTATGAAGGGTTTCCTCTTCAGTAAGGTTTTTAGGCTGAGTCATCACAACCAAAGAGATATCCTTGTTCTTTGGGGGTGGGGTTTTCTTTAAAACCAAAGCACAGCACTTATCTTACTGTAAAACTGGAAAGGAAAATATTTTTTATGGTCAGACAGCCAGACAAGGTCAGCATTTCACATGAGATGGACCTTGTCTGCCAGGCATCTGGTTAAAATCCTCTGCTAGGACTTCATAATAGGAAGGTAACATGCATTAGGGATCTTGCATTAAAAAGAGGTGTTTTTTAGATGCAAAAGCAAAACAAAATTTACCATCTGAAATTTACTAGGTGTAGTTACTGCAAATGAATAGAGGCATAATTATGCAGCTATAAAATATCTGACTTTAACAAGTAAGCTCTTTTCTAGCTTAAAAAAATAAAAATCCTATCCTGTCAAATTTTGTGTGGGGATTTGTACGTTCTGATAATTTCCTAATTATATATCATTGCACGTTTTCTAATTTTCTCACCTGGGGCTAGGCCTGCATGTTCTTGCATTTGTCCAAAATCCATACATGTAAAAAGCAGAAAAAAAAATGTAATCAAATTTGTCAAATATAACAATTTACTGGTGAGGGCTTGCAACACCTGGGACCAGTCTGAAGAAACAGAAATATTCGGCACAGGGAGAGTTAAACATTGGTGATTTGCAAGGTTTTCGTCAGAAGCATCTTCCTTTTCTATGACTCTTCAAGGGGATGTGTACCCATCCCTCTTATCTTAGTGAAGCAGCTGGGCTACTGCTGCCATAAATCAGGAGTGAAACCGAGGGATGGTGATGGGTAAGACTTATGGCAGGGCGGTGGTGGTGCCTGGTGAGAGGGAGCAGACCAGGTTAAAATGAGGCGCTCGGACTCCCTGCGGGAAGGAGAGATGGGGGACATGAAGCCTGCAGTGCGGCTCCGACGGAAGGGATGGGGCAGTGCTGATCCCTGTGGGGCAAATCCTTGTCCTGGGGGTGGGAACCCTCACCCCAACAGCTCAACATGGAGCAGCTGGGAGGTAAGTGTGGGGATGGGTTCAGGGTGGGAATGCTGGCACTGGGTGTTATGTTACACCCTGCCCCTGAAAGCCACTGGTGCTAGAGCGGGTCAAAGCCACAGGAGCTGCTTGCACACAACAGCCTCTCAAATGCAAGTCTTGGGATGCCTTTCTCTGCCACTCTTGGAGTGGAGGCTTTTGCTAGCACACAGTAAGGTGGCATCTTCAAGTGCAGTCATTATAGGCGGAGTTTTTAGGCGTTTCTCTTGATCATATTTTCGATCCTGTACAGTGGGCTTGGGCACATGGGTGATGGCACAGGCAAGATGCTTGATTTGTGTCCCTCACTGCCTGTTTCCCCGGCATAGCCCCACCAACACTACTGGGCTTCCCCCATGCAGCCCCAACTATGCAAGGTTTGAAAAATGCAAAGTAGTTTCTAATGAGTCACCACAGAAGAAAAGGGTGGGATGAGCAACTGAGAGCTCCCCCCAAGCCTACAAAGGTGGTTTCAGGCCAGTGATCTGCTTCACACCCCTGCATGGGGCAATGCAACAAGCTCCCCATGTTCCTTCCTGCGTTTGAGGTAGACTAGCACTTGTTGCCTGGCTGAGGTCCCTGAGGAGCTCTCATTTCAGGGACTATTGGTACACTGTGCCTTTAGTCCCCCGTGCTGACCGTGAGGGTGAGGGCTACAGACAACCAACGTGGAAGAAGCCCGTGGGACTTACACCTCACTGATTCATCCCTTCTATAAGGAGATCTCACTTCAGGTGCCCCCCTCCATCAGCAGCTGCTTTTTGAGAAAGGTCACTCAGCTTCCCTCTCTTTTGGTCTTGGAGACACTTAAAATAGCAGATGTAGCCACAGCCACAGCAGAGGGCAAAGGAGTATTTTTGCTCATGTCTCTGCTTGTGTGGGACTAGCTGTGTGCTTGTAGGTGCATTTTCAAGCTGGTAGGCAGCCAAGGAACCAGTGTTGGTGTTGCCATCTTCCAGAGCTGGGATCAGTGTGCTCCAGCACCTCGTGCACCTGCCTTTTGTCATGCATAGGTCTTGGTTTTTCTCACCCTTTAGGAAGGTTTAGGAAAAGAAAATAGAAAAAAAACCCAACCCACCACCAAAAAAAAAAAATCAGATTAGGGATGCTCAGTGGGCCATTTCTAAAGGAACTGCCTGTGACATGTCTTGCTTGCCATACCTGACAGTGCCTACACAACTGCAAAAAGTTGAAAGCCTCCCCTTAAAAAACAGCTTGGGACAAAAAGTGGACATCCAGTGGTTCCTGAGCTATCTGCCTCAAAGGAGCCAGGCACAGTGTCTCTGCAATAGTGAGATGGAAGCTGCCAGCAGTGGATGGCTGATCATCATGGACATTGTCATGGAGAGGTGGTGTCCTGCAGGGAGCATTCACTCAAGGATGTACCCCAATGGCAGTGGTGCATGATCACAGAGGTTTCCGCTGTGATCCACAGCACCTTGCCCTCCACATCCTTTTCCCTTTAGTTTACTAGGCTGGTTGTTTGCTGTTACATATATTGGATATACCAGACTTGCAATAGAAGCAGCTCCTCTCAAATGCCACATTTCCCACTCTTTGCATTTCCTTTTGGACTTGCCTTGGCTTTCAGGGACCTACATACCCTTCAGCACATACACAGTGCTGCATAGTTCACACAGCATCACACAGGCTGAATGGGTATGATGGTGTGTGTGTGTATCAAAATTTCCTACGTCCCTAAGTTTATCAGTCAGAAAATCAAATGTTGGGGCATTTGCGTGTCATTATCGCTTACCTATTTTATTTGCTTAGCTTTATTAGCTAACTAGGCTCATTTAATCCTCAGCATTCACTAATCCAAATTAGAGATGGGCCCAAACTCGGATCTGGGTGCCAATTAGGAGCCACCAGGTTCTTACCAACATGCTACCTCCAGCAGTCACCACAGCTGATCATGGTGCATGGGAGTGCAGGAGCCCCCATGAAACATCGAGGAAGTGCCACACCCACATCACCTCTGTCCTTATGCCCTACAGGCAACTGAGAAGCAGATCAGTATCTAAATGCATCATTTGCTTTGCAATGGTCTACGTATACCTGAAGTGCTATACCGTGCCCCCCCAAAAAAGAGAGGGAGTTGTTTTTTGCATCTTTCTCTGGGGGTTGCGTCAAACCATCCATAATGGCCAGAAGAGCCCCTGACAATTACAGCTCTTGCATCTTGTCGTCCTTTGCAGCTGCTTCTTGTCCCTTTGGCTCATTCTGAACATGGCGTGGTGACAAACCCACATGCTGTAGCCATTAATCACAAGTACTTGTAGCAAGAAATTATGCCCAGATGAAAAAGTGAGCTTGTTCTGCAACAGCCGTGGTCAGGCCCTGGACAGGCCCTCGTACTTGTTTCTGACTTGGCTGTTAAAATGGGCTTCTCGTATCTGTTCTGCTTCCGCATCCACGGGAGAGGAACAGTGGTATGCAGAGAGTCTGCAGGTGCTTTGGCATGTCCCCAGGAACATCAGGTCCAAGAATCCATTGTTGCTTTCACCAAAGCTACAGGGCTGAAGGCTGAGGTATTAGTGGTCTCCTCTGGATCCCATACCATCAGTGTTGCATCTCAGCACAGGGTTGCACTGAGGGACCTGATCAGCACTTGCCTCCTTGTTGTTCTCAAAGACACGTCTTCCACTCAGGACTCTACCCGGTCTCCATCTTCCCATGTAGTAGGAAAGGGTTTTACCTTCTACAGGGCTGACACCATTAGCGAGACATCCTGCACTCCCCTGCAGGGAGGCAATGGGCTCCTGGTAACCTGTGCAGGCAGGAGGCTCCACATGGGCCTCCTATAGCGGTTTCCTAATCCTGCTTTTCTGTTCCTAGCCAGGCATCCCTGACTCTGCCAAGATGTGGATGCTTAAGGTGCCAGCTCCTCTCACTGGAAGCTAATAGCTAGCTCCCTGAACAAAGAAAATCCAATTTGGCATCAAAAAGGAAACAGCCTAATTCTAGTCTCTCATCTTTTTCCCTGCTGATTCAGTTCATCAGACTTTTTGCTGATTTATACCTTGGATGAAAGAAGAGTTTCAGACCAAAGGTCATTCTCCTGTCAGGTGTGGATGTAGGCATGTCCTTACTGTAACACAGAATGAAAGGCTTTATGAGCCAAGGATGTTCATAAAGGGAGGGAGACGTGGAACTCCTGGAGCAGGTCCAGCAAAGGGTAACAAGGATGATTAAGGGATAAGGATAGGCTGAAGGAGCCAGGCCTGTTCAGCCTTGAGAGGAGGCAACTGATAGGGGACTTCGTCAGTGTCTATCAGTATCTAAAGGGAGGGTGTCAAGTGGAAGGATCCAGGCTCTTCTCAGTCGTGCCAAGCAACAGGACAAGAGGCAATGGGCAGAAACTGATGCACAGGCAGTTTCATCTGAATGTGAGGAAGAACTTTACTGTGTGGGTGACTGAGCAGTGGAACAGATTGCCCAGGGAGGTTGTGGAGTCTCCCTCACTGGAGATATTCAAGATCTGTCTGGACACAATCCTGTTTGATGTGCTCTAGGATGACCCTGCTTGAGCAGGGAGGTTAGACCAGATGACCCACTGTGGTACCTTCCAACCTGATCCATTCTGTGATTTTGTGAGTGCTCACATCCATATGCAATGCTGTGGGCAGTGGTGGGCCAAGGACCTAGCTGCCTGGGGAATGAGACTACTTCTGGCAAGCCTCTTTGATAGAATGTTTGTAAAAGCCTGATGGCACCTTATGATTTTTTTCCCCTTTTTCTTCAATAGGACCACTAGAAAATAAAAGTATTGTAGTTTCCTTTGCTGTAGCAGACCTTAAAGGGGAAATTAACTCAGGAGCTGATGCACTGCTCACTGAATTCAGTGGGGCTTTTTCTGCCAGCTTCAGTGGAAACTCTGGAACTAGCTCTCTATCGAAGGTGACTTTGGTTTTCTGTGGTTATGTGAGACTTTCCTCCCATTTATCTGTGGGGAATAGCTTTGGGAGGCTTCAGAGCTCAGATGAAATATTTGCTGTTGCTGGTCCTCAGTTTATTTTCTTCCTTGCATCATGACTGTTCCTCTTTTACAGTTGGCAGCTGTAATCATCGCTGGCCTCCTCCTGCTCTACATCCCACTGTGCTATGAGAATTTCCATTTCCACGTGGCTCATTTGTATGCTCGCCTGGGGTACCCCAATGCCCAGCACATCCTGGGACAGAGGTATTTACAAGGTAATGTTTCTCCAATCCATGGCTAACTTGCTGCCAGAGTAGGTATGCTCATAAGCCAGAACTACAAACATGGCTCTGTGGTATGTGGTACCACCACACTGCTGGATTTTGGATGCTGTATTCTATAACCTATCTGTGACTTTGATACCTTGTCTCACACCCAGGAACCGGAGTGGAAAAAAATGAGGACATGGCTATGCACTGGTTCAGGTGAGGCACGATTCTTGCCGTCGGAAATTGGCTTCTTCTGGCAAAAGGCTACTGTGGCATGGGAGAAGGAAGAAGAGCTGGCAGTGCTTTGGGGGACAGCTGCACTGAGCTGTCCTGTGGCAGCGGGAGGGAGGTTCACAGGTGGCAGCAGGGAGATCTGGAGCTCCCAACTTCTCCCTGTGGGTCATACGCTTTGCTCCACTTTCTTCACCTACTATTGCTATTTTTTTAAATCAGTGAAAGAAAGAAAGTGTCTCAGCATCAAGAGTGCAGAGAATGCTGGTTTTGCTGAATAGCCTTTTGGGAAGGTTTGAGCTGCAGGTGGGCAGCAGGGAAAATGCACAGGCACAGGAGGGTAGTGAGCCAGGAACTGCTGAGGCAATGGAAAATCAAGGTACAGCAACGTATTAATTTCCTGCTCTCAGCACACCCTCCCAAGAGGTTTCTGCCACATAAGTGAGGCAGCCATGCCTGTGTGTGCATTTGCTGTGGTACCCACAGTGGTCACACCTGTGGTAGGAGCCTGAGCTGCATCCCCTGAAATCCTAACACTCTTGGTGAGAAATGGAAAGAATGAGAGATGGGGGAAGTTACTGTGCTACCCAAAAAGTGAGGGGAGAGGAGGGAGGCACGTTAGATGTTTCCTCTGTGTCTGCTCAGGACATAGAACAGCATCAAGCTACAGGAAGGGCTGAAATAACTATGCCTGTAACAGCAGGAGTTGTAATCAAAGAAGGCATCATTAAGGATATCCCTACCTAGAGAAATGCTGAAGCCTTTGTGCCTTTCTGAATAAAGATGTTTTCCAAATCAGGGCCTGAACATTTCAAAGGAGTCACATTTCAGAACAGTGAATTATACATACCTTCTTCCTTATTTGCTCTGTCGTGGTTTAACCTCATCTAAGCAACTAAGTACCACACCACTGGTCACTGATTTCCCCACTCCCCTCCCAGCCCTGTGGGATGGGGAGGAGAATTGGAAAAAGGTAGAACGTGTGGGTTGAGAAAAGAGCAGTTTAATAATTGAAATAAAGTATAACAATAATAATAATAATAAAAGAGAGGAATAAACCCCAAGAAACACAAGTGATGCCCAATACAGTTGCTTACTACTCACTGACCAATGCCCAGCCTGTCCCCAACAAGTGATGGGCAGCTCCTGGCCAACTCCCCCCCAGTTTACATATTGAGCATGACACTATGGTGTGGAATATCCCTTTGGCCAGTTCGAGTCAGTTGTCCTGGCCATGCTCCCTCCCAGCTTCTTGTACACCTCCCCACTGCCAGAACATGGAAAACTGAAAAATCATGGATTTAGGGTAAGCTCTGCTCAGCAACAATCAATGTGTTGTCTACATTAATGTCTCTTACCATTGACTTTGCTTGTCTCTTCCCCCCTGTAGGCAGGCTGCGGGGCAGGGCCATCCCCACTCCTCCTTCAACCTGGCAGTGGGGGCACTCAGAAACATGACCATGGCACTTGAAGAAGGGTAACCTGAGTTAATCCTCTTCCTTCCCATTACAGCTGCATTCCCAGCTCCTCCTGGGGAGGTGGGGGGGAAACTGGTGCTGTAAGTACTCCACGCATGAAGCTACTCCAGCATTTCTAATGCCCTCTTCTTGTAATGTCAGTAATGCAGCCCCACCTGCAGAGGAAAACCAAAAACTCCAGTTAGTCCAATGAGATTTTAAAAATTAAGTGCCACAGTACACAAAATTCCTGTGGTCTGAATGCATATGTATTTCCATCATGATTTCCCAATCAAGGCAAGGGACAAGACCCATACTGGTATAGAAAGAGCTATTGAAGTGACATGTGAATTTTCTGCTATAAAGACCTGTCTTTCTTTTTGGGGGAACTCCCTTTTCACTCTTATTCCCATCCAGTGAAGTCAATGAGAAGTTTCTTGTTGCCTGCCTGGGGGTTGGGTTGAAACCACTCAGGACACATTTTTCTCCCTAATGTGCCTGTGCACACTTCACACCAGTGTTCCCAGCAAGGCCCACAGCCAAAGAAAACTTGCCTTGTGCTTTGTACATTTGCTGTGGCGACTAGTCCTGGGGCTAAGTGAAGCTAAAATGACCGATGAGTTCCCAAAACAGTGATTGATAGATTTTGTGTATTGTTTAGTTTTGATTTTTTTGCGTTTACTCCAAGTCTGAAAATTGAAACTGAGGTTGGAGAGAGCAGTTTTGAACTAAATGAAGCTAAAATAGCATTGTTTGGGCAAACCTTGTGACCAGCACGTTTTGTTTCAATTTTCACTGCATGTCGCATGATGAGGCAGATTCATGTTTTGAATGGGATTTCAAGAGCTCCAAATCCATCTCTACTTCAACTAAGATGAGAAAATCACCAAACCCAAAACACATGTGCTCAGACCACAGGGAAAAGCAGAAGGAAAATCAGATAATTTTCTGAATAGTGGAGAGTAAACTTTGCAGACATTTTCAGTAGCTGTGTTCCACTTATAAAAGCCTGGGTAATTGAAATTTAGCTATGAATGAATCAAACATCCTCCTAAATTTTCTTGATGAAAGTTTCATGTCCTTCAGGGAAGTGGAGAAACTTCTCAGTGTGGCAGCAGCCCATGGGCTCCAGGAAGCTCAGCAACTTTTGGAAAACATCCTCAAGAGCAGAAACCTTCCCTGATTGACTGCTGCAATACCAGCGCTCGTCCAACCTTGCCAACTTAGCAACCCCACTTTCTCCTTGCTGAGTGTCTTTAGGCATTTGAGTCATTCATTGGACATTGCACTTGCTTTGTACTGGATCTCCATGGTCAGATCTATGGCAGTCATGTGTTGCTGCACCTTCTCTTTTTGCTTCCTGGCTCGCCACTTCTGAAGAGCATGGAAAAGGTGGGGTGGAGGAGACAAATAGCCTTCAGGGTTACACTGGCAATGGGCATATGGATGTTTTTGAAAAAACACCACTATGTTTGTACCAACTTATCTGCTAATACTAAGTTCAGTTTATATCCCAGCGTTCACCTGGACTTGGTGTGAGGTTGCTGCACATTTGTGCTACCTGTATTTCATGCTCTGCTTAGGCATTGTGATAACTAATCATGACTAAGCCTTTATCACTTTAAATCAGCATGGCATGCATGCATGATGCCATTTGTAATAGAAATGACAGTGATTTAATAGAAAATATAAATGATGCTCTCACTTAATGCTATCATTCCTTATTGGCATTACCATTGTCGTGCCAGTTTTGGGGAAAAGTAATTCAGTTTAATGAAAACTGCCTTCATTTTCAGGTTTAAAACCACAGTGAGCAATTGCATTTCATGGGAAGTGCACTCACTAAACAAAGACCCGCAGCATTTTGCTGGCAATAAAATTGTTTCCCAGGGCTGCCTTTGTTGGTGTGCAATCTTTCCCTTCTTGCTACCGTAATTATCCAGCTCACTTGTTGCACACATGAGGTCCTGCACTCCCCCTGGGTGCCTGAGGCCTCGCTGGTGGGCCTGAGACCCAGGGGTTGCCACTGAGGGAGCAAATGGGACAGCAAGCCCGTGGTGGGGGGCCAGGCTTTGGTTTCTGAGAACTGCGTTTGTGCTGTGACTTGTAGGCAAAGATGTGAAGTACTTTGGGCAGGCTCCTATTTCCCTGTCCCATCTTGGGTGTCAGCCTCAATATCTTTCTAGAGTGATGCTGGCAACAACTGGGGTGTGTCCCACAGGCACAACGTGCCAACACTCAGCGCAGTGGAGGGAGGCAGGGGCTGATGGCCACACATTAAGCAAGGGATAGCCAGACTTTGTCTCTTCACCTGACTGTCCCCAGTCTGGGCTCCTCAGGGCCAGTTCTGCATCTTGCTCCCAAGAGGAGAGCACAGAGGGGAGGAGACCTGGGGCCTGGCTATCCTTCTGCCTCCCTCAGCCCTGGCACCATGTGCTGCAGACCAGTGCTCTCTGATGCAGTGCAGCTGCCTGCTCCCCCTGCTTGTCTCCTTTCTCTTTCCCTTCTGTGCTCCCTCCCACGCATCCCTTTATTAAATCTGGTACTACAAACTGCACGGCAGAGCAGAGCACCAGGAGATTTTCTCTCTTCCTCAAGTAGAAAAGCAAGACACCATTTTCCAAATATTAAAGGAGCTCATATATGTAGTGGCTGTGGACTGGTGCCCCGAGTCAGGACCCTTTATAGACAGGGGAATATTTCCCTTGGCATGAGGCTTGTGCTGCATTACGTCTCAGACCTGCTTTTTTTTTTTTCTCATGAACGCGCATGAGCTGTAGCTCCTGATTTGGAAACTAGACCTATGCTATACATCTCATATAGAGAGAGACACACCAGTTAAGTGTACTAGGCATCCTACCCAGGCCTGTGCTACCCTCCTTTTTGTGCCTGTGAGCAGAAAAATGCAGGTTTTTTCCCCATAATGCAGCATCCACTGAGAAAATAATGTGAAGAGCTGTCTCAAAATCCCCACTGAAACTCAAACCATAGTGTCTTCTGCCACTCCTCCACCCCCGAAATCATCCTCGTTTTCTTCATCCTCCCTAACCACAGCAGCCAATATCAGAGGGACATTCAAGCATGGCTGGGGAGAGCCATATCCCGTAGTACACCTCCACCAACCAGTGATGCCCAATTCACCCCCCTTTCTTATTGCCACTGGGTTCAGGATGAAGCTGTAAGTGACCCAGATATGACATAAGGCACTGCCTCGGTGAGCTAAGGTGTACTGACCTGGGTATTTGAGGAGCAAATATGTTGAGAGCCTGGTGGGCAGGGTCATTGTATTTTGCAGTGTGAGTTGACCCTGGTTGGGTGCCAGGTACCTACCAAAGCTGCTCTCTTACTCCCCTCTGCAACTGGACTGGAGAGAGAAAATAGAACGAAAGCCTCATGAGTTGAGATAAGGAGTGGGAGAGATCACTCACTGATTACAGGCAAAACAGACTGAACTTGGGCATATTAAGTGAATTTATTACTAAGAAAATCAGAGCAAGAAAATGAGAAACAAAATGAATCTTAAAAACACCTACCCCCCAGCAGTGCAGGTAGACAGGGATGGGTGCTGAGGTCAGTTCATCACAGGTTGTTTCTGATGCTGCTTCCTCCTCAGGGAAAGGAGTCCTTCTCCTGCTCCAGTGTGAGGTCCATCCCACAGGAGACAGTTCTCCACAAACTTCTCCAACATGAGTCCTTCCCACAGGCTGCAGTTCTTCACAAACTGCTCCAACATGAGTCACTTTTTGCAGGGTGTAGTCCTTCAGACACAGGCTGCTCCAGTGCAAGTCTCCCATGAGGACAAATCCTACCGGGAAAACTACTCTAGTGTAGGCTCCTCTCTCCATGGGCCTGCAGGTGCCTGCCAGGACCCTACTCCAGCATGGATTTTCCATGAGTTCGCTGTCTCTTTCAGGCATCCACCTGCTACAGCATGGGTCTCCTCCACAGGCTGCAGATGGATCTCTGCATCCCTGTTGACCTCCATGGGCTACAGAGGCACAGCTGCTTCACCATGGTCTGCACCAGAGGCTGCAGGGGAATCTCCACTCCAGCGTCTGGAGCATCTCCTCCCCCTCCTTCTCCACTGACCTTGCTTTTGTGTAGTTTTTCCTATCAGATATTCTCACTCCTTTCTTCTCTAGCTGCAATTAGATCTGCACAATAACTTTTTTCCTTCTTAAATATGTCATCACAGAGGCATTACGACCATCTCTGTTTGGCTCAGCCTTGACCAGCAGCAGGTCTGTCCTGGAGCCAGCTGGAACTGGCTTCTTGAGGAAGCTTCTAGCAGTTTCTCAAGAAGCCAACCCCATAGCCCCCTCACTATCAAAACCTGGCCATGCAAACCCAATACACATGGAACTTAAGAAATCACCATTTTCTGTCCCTGAGTCAAAATGAGTGAGCAGGCTTTTGTATGCTGATCAGTTTTCCTACCTGGAGTGTCACTGCCCAGCACTAAAATGGGCATTAACACTGACCATGAGATTCTGCAGCTACCAGGCAACAAGTTAGCCTCAAGGTTCATGCTGCCTTCACTTCAGTGACAAGCTGTAATTACTATGTTCATTATCTCAAAAAGAGCTGTTTTGGAATATAACATTTTTCCTTTATCTCAGCTGTAGCTTCCTTGCTGATATACATAGTCTTGTACAACAGGCAAGTGACCTGTCATCCAGTGCTGTCCAGGTGGCCTGTTTTTTAATAAAGAGTAGTAAGAGCTTGACAATAAATCACGAGCAACCTCGCCATGTTCCAGCAGAAAAAAATTACTGTTGGTTTAGTAAAGCCAGTTATCAAACAGCAGGAAGAAAAGGCCATTGCAACTCAGTATAGTGCCGAGAATTCACCAGAAAAAGATGTTCACTGGTTTCCTGCAATTTGCAGGTTTAACACTTGTACTTTTACCTTCACACCATCTCCCCTGAGACACGTGTGTTTTCCACCCTAATTGCTGCCCCTACAATTTCACCCTGGATTTTCTTTCAGTTTTGAGTTTTGCAGTCGATGGCTGAGAGTCTGCACCCTCACATTCCTCCTGCTTTTTCCTTTTTTCTCCACAGATCTGCCTCGCTCTGGCTGTGCTGGCTGCTGGTAGGTGTGGGCACCCTATCCCCCCTGCAGGGAATAGTCCCTGGTTGTGGAGTGCTTGTCCCGCACAGGACCTCCCTGGCAGCTGCCAGCCCTCTTCTCCTTGGCACTGCCTGTACTCAGGCAATTAGAAGGATTTTCTTCCCCAAAACACAGCTCTAATTATAATCTAATTCAGCTTATTTGAAGTACAGTTTGGTAGTATTTCCATTATGCAAATATCAATTTATTATCGTCACATTATGTTTTGACTACAGTTGTGTTCCTAATTAGAGGCAATTTAACTGCTTTTAAAAACCCCATCCTTTCCTCTCCATGAACCCTTACTTCCTTGCAAACCACACAGTACAGACATTTAGCATGGAGTCAGTGATGAAAACCTGCAGTTATCAGCTCCGTTTGCATCACTCTAATTGACTTTCATTATGTTAGAAGCCACTCAAAAAGCATGATTTTTTCTGATTTACTTGGGATTGGAGGCATGAAAGAGAGCAGGGAACTTACTCCAGCTGCATTTCTAACATTTTTCTGCCCAAACTTTCAGGTGGATTTGGTGTGGCTACCCACTCCCAATAACTGACCATTCTGTTGCCTTTGGCTGGGGGGGGAAGTTATAATGATATTAATGCTGGTCTGTGAAACACAACAGATTTCTACCATAAGAGAGAGAAAAGCTGATCTCATGAATTCGACATAAAAAAACCCTAAACCAGGCTGCAATGGACGTATTTGTCTGTCCTGCTTGGTCCCATCGGAAGAGGCACTAGGAAACCAGGACAAAAGGCTATGATAACAGCAATTCCCATCTGCCCTGGTTGAGGGCAATGAGGGGACTGTAGGTTTTGGTCATGGAGGCTGCCCAGCTCGGTGCAGGCCTTAGAATGTGAGCAGAGGAGATTTTCTATGAAGAGAAGTGAGGCAGCCACGGGGACATGTGTGGGTTTAGGGACTAGGCAGTAGGAGTTTATGGAGAGCTGAGCATCTGCCAATTTGTCACCGACATCCTTAGAAATCCCCAGAGTTATTCCTCCCAATGCCTTTTGCAATAACTGTGACTTCTAAGCACTTTTCTGCTGCCACGGCTCAGGGCAGGAAAGGGTCCTACCTGCTATGCAGGTGGCACGAAGGTTTCTGCCTCTCAAAGCATCTCCAGGGCCTACCCTGTTTAATATGGCTGGCATGTTTTATGACAACAGAAATGTTGTTTTACCAAACATTTTGAGGAGCTCTCAGATGACTTTTAGCAGGGGAAAGGGAGCATTACTGCCTGCAATGAAAACCCACCAGAACGATCAAACCCATAGGTGGCTAAAGAAGTGTGCAGTTCTGGCTTTGAAGTGTGTGCTTCAGCAGCAGCTGAACGTTAGGGGTCCCCAGTGGACTTTCAAAAGCTTTGTAAGGGGGGGGGGGGGAAGAAAAAAGAAAAAAGACTGAAGTGTTCCTGAATTTGTCTACACATAAATCCCAATACCCCACCCACCTACCAGGCAAGCTCTGTTGATACCAGGGGCAAAACCACAGCATTAATGCTCTGACATAAAATGAAGACAGAGGCTGCTGCACTGTGCCT